CATCATTTCTAAGACTGAAGGTGCGCCAATATAAACATTGCATTGATATATTTTGAATTACTTATTTAAATATAAATATAAATATTGTGCATTAAATCAATCGCACAATATGCGTATAAAATTAGTATATTAAAAAAAGGAGGGGAGGGGGGGATTACTTACACTAGTGAAGGGATACCAAACTTTTGTACTTTCTTTTTAATCATTATTTTCAAGTGTTATTTCTATTATGGTTAATTATGATCCAATTATTATTATTTTTAAAAAAGTCCAACGTTGAGAAAGTGCTAGAATGGAGAGCAATACTTGAAGAGATGATAGGGCAACACAACAAACACTCATCACAACATCATTAACATTAATTAATGTCGATATCATATATAATAAAGTAAAGATACTCAATATATATATATATATATATATATATATATATAAATATATATAATATGATTTACGAGCTAATACATAGGAACGAAGTTTATTCAATACACACTCAAATAGTAACTGTGAATTTTCTTCGCCGTCATTGAAAAATAAATAAAAATTCTTTATCTCTTTACTAACAACTATAAATTATTATCGTGTATTAATTACATAATCAACTCCATTGTATGGTTAAAGTATAATTTGATAATAAAATATACTCTTTTTTATAGGTATGACTAATTCAATCGTGTCCCGATAGGACCACACATAGCACAACTCTCCCCATAATATTGATATATACACAGCTCGAACTTATGACCTCATACTAAAACAACTCAAACTCACCCCAAAGTTTAATAAATTGGAACCATGAATTAAAATAAAAACTCATTTTATAAACAATTTCAGAATAACATTATCTATACTACATATCTACAAATCTACCAATAGAATAATAATGACCGTGCACAATTATCCATCTATATTAGCTACTCTATGATCTATGATGTGTCATCTTTTTATTGGATACGTAAAATCACAGTCATTATTTGAGAGTGTGCATTACATGTAAATTATATTCATGTGTAATAGTTTACAAATCATGTTAAAAATAGTGTGATAGACAATTCGACCTACCCAACCTAGAGAACTACTTTGATTATGACTTATGAGGGTATTATGAGTTTTCAGATAAATAATAAAAGGAAAAACAAAGTACAAGAAAAAAACATTAAATATTTCCTCGTAGTTCACAATTTACAGAGAGAGGAAGGAGTAATTATGAGGGAACATAAAATAATATTGGGAAATAGATAGTAAAATCTTTGTTGGGGTGCGAGTTTATTCTCTACTCTTTCTTTTCTCCTTCTCATTCCCAAAGAGAAGAATTGATTCTTCCACGTTGGGTATGTATGGTGGTGTGGTGGTGACAACCCTAAAGTTAACCCCCACCCCTGCCTTCACATTATCCCCCCACCCCCACCCCTCCACCCAAAAAATAAAAACAATACCAATTTCAATACACTTATACACATATGTAATTATGTATATAGTTACGTAATACTCCGAAATGTTCGCATGAACAACTCAGTTGGTTATAAGAGTAAAGTTTGAAAAGTTTGACTAAGAATTGAGTCTCATTAGTTACCGTGTGGGAGCAACTTCTCATTCAGCTGATCATACCCGTCACTTAAATTAAGGAGAAAAAAAACAGTTAAAAAAACATTAAATATTAACTTATCATATCTTGCACAATGGACATCCAACTAAAATATCGGACGGACCAGATCAAATTAAAAAAATGAGGTGACATTTTCATTATTATCATCAATTTTACTATGCAAACTTAAACTTTAAAATCTACGCTTCTCATAATTTTTGAGGTTTACACATTTAGTATTAACATATTGTACATTTAGCATTAACATTTTTTACATTTAATTTTAAAAATTGCATTTACAGAAAATGCAAAAGTGCATAGTCCACTCATCAATTATTATCATCATAGGTTCAATTTTTTTTTTTTTTATAGAAAATATGGAAGGGGGAAACCCAGGTAATTACAAAAGGGGGCAGTCTAACTGTCTCCAAACTTGTAGACCGACTCTATCTTCTTCTATGATTTGGCTCAGTACCTCCGGCGCAGTATCAAAGATCTTTAGGCCATTGGAGTAATCGATTTCTTTGGCTAGGCAGTCTGCGGCACGGTTTTGTTCTCTCGGAGCGTAGGAAACTGTCCAAGTAGCAATATTGCTAAGTTCTCGGCTGCATGCATGTAATATGTTCCTTGTAACATTATCAACAACCCCATCCTGATTGATTTCCTTTACTGTGCTCAAAGAGTCGCTTTCAAAAACGACCTTTTCCAAATTTAGAGAGATTGCTAGCTGAATACCCTTAAGGAGTGCCCAGGCTTCGGCGGCATCAATTGAGCATGCCCCGACTGAATATGTAAATCCTTTGATCCAGTTCCCTTGATCGCTCCTGACCACCTCGCCACACCTAGCCAGATTTGAAGTTGAGCTGAGGCACGCATCAATGTTCACCTTCGACCAACCTTGTGGGGGCTTGGACCATCTGATAAGTTTCCAGTTCCGTGATGATGCCCTTGGACCCATCAATTTAGCCTTGTTAAATGCTTCATTAATCTCTTTACATTGCAGATGTATCCAGTAGACCTTCTGGTTAAGGCTTAGATTCTTCTCGTTAAAAATTCTGTCATTTCTCCATCTCCACAGCCACCATAGGGAGACTGCAAACATAATTTTGTTGTTGTGGCTACGTCTGTTGCAATTCCAGCCTTCGATCCCTGCATCAAACCATTCCAAGAAGGACGAAGCTTGACTTGTATTACCTGTGTTTGGCATTATTTGTTCCCAGAGCTGCCTCGTATTAGGGCATTTTCGGAGAATATGCTCCGTTGATTCCACCTGGTCTCTGCATAAATCACATCTGCTATTATCCGTAAATCCTCTTTTGGCTCTGTTTTCGTTGGACATGATCCTGTTGTGCCTTACCAACCAGAGAAAAAACTGTATCTTGCTAGGGACCTTTAACTTCCATATATTACTCCACTTACTCGTCTCGGGGTGTGACTGTGGGTTGGTTAACAGTGAGTATGCTGATGAGACTGAAAATTCTCCTGAAGAGCTGTATCCCCAGCCAACTCTATCTTCCTCTTCATCATCCATTAGAACGAAGGCCGCTACCTTTTGCAAAGTATGAGCCGGCAGTAGGTCTATTATATCATCCCATTTCCATCCTGTAGTAGCATCCCAGTAATCCGAGACTCTAGCATATAGGACTGGTAACAACAGGTTAATGGTAACTAGATTAATCAAGGGCTGCTGGTCTATCCAAGGCTCCATCCAAAAGAGAGTATTTCTGCCATCTGCAACTAGCTTCTTGATGCCCTTCGTGAGTGTTGGTGCTGCCTTGAGGACTCCTTTCCAGGCATTGGACATACCTGCCTTTGGTTGCCATGTATTGGGGTCAGAGCTTTGAATCCCGTACTTCGCTCTCAGAATCTGTGCCCATAAACCTTCTTCTCCTGATTGTAATCTCCACCCAAGTTTTGTCATGAATGCTAGGTTCATGTTTTCCAACTTCCTGATGCCTAAGCCTCCATTTTCCGTGTCTTTAGTGACTATATTCCAAGCTACAAGACTGCATTTTCTTTCGTCAGCTGACCCTCCCCATAAGAATTTCCGAATTAGCTTTTCAATTTCTTCGAGTACTCCCAGTGGTATCATTGTAGATTGTAATGCATAGATAGGTATAGATGAGAGGACCGATTGAGCAAGGACTCTCCTACCTGCCATGGAGAGAGATTTCATTTTCCAACCTGCAAGCCTGCTTCGAACTCTGTTCACAAGCCCTTGGAACGAATCTTTTTTCATCCTACCATGCAGCGAGGGTACCCCCCAGGTATTTACCTAAGTTATCAGCCATTGTAATGTTTAGGATTCCCGCAATTTAGCGTCTTTCAGTCTCAGGTGTGTTCTTAGAGAAGTAGAGAAGGGACTTATGGTAATTAACATTCTGCCCTGAGCTATTGCATAATAGGTCCAAACATCGTTTAATCACATGTGCTTGCTGTGGTGTAGCCTCCCCGAATAGCACCATATCATCCGCAAATAGGAGATGCGAGATGCAAGGGCCATTTCTAGATACACTAACTCCTTTCCAGTGACCTCCTTCAACCATCTCATTAATCAAATGACTTAATCTTTCAATACAAAGCATGAAAATTAGCGGAGATATAGGATCACCTTGCCGAATACCCCTCGTGGGCTTGAACCAATGCGACCTTTGTCCATTCACAGTAACTGCCAGCCTAGTAGATGTGATACATCTCATAATGTTCCTAATCCATATTTCGTTAAAGCCTGCTTCCCGGAGAGTATCTTGCACAAAACTCCATGACAGCCTATCGTAGGCCTTCTCAAGGTCAATTTTCAGGATCATCAGTCCCACTCTTCCTTTTTTGTGATTTGCTGTGTTCAACACTTCTTGGTAGGCAATTATATTGTCCACTATCTGCCTACCGGGGACAAAGCTCGATTGGTTTGGACCAACAAGCTTCTGGATAGCTACTTTCAATCTAGAGGTAAGCGTCTTAGATATTACCTTGTATGATACATTACACAAGCTTATGGGTCTTAGCTGCTTTGCATTCTCCGGGCACTGTACTTTTGGCATAAATGATATAACAGTATCATTACATTTTTCGGCAAGGTTTCCAGTAGCAAAGTAATTCATCACAAAAGATGTCAACTTTTCTCCCACCACTACCCAGTAATGTTGGTAAAATCCAGCATGGTAGCCGTCCGGCCCAGGAGCTTTGAACGGGTGACATATCAAAACATGTTTGCTTGACTTCCATTGGTGTGAAGGGGGCATTTACATAATTCCAATAAGCTTCTAGGAGAGTTGGAAAGGTCTTTCTCCAGTCAGGCTTGTCACGATTGATCACATCTTCCGTGTACAGCTTTGAGAAGAATTCTGTAATATAAACTAGGATGGCCTCCTCCGTTTCTAGTCATTCACCTTGGCTGTCCATTAGCTTAGAAATTTTAGAATGTGGTTTTTTTGGCAGCTGTCGAGGCATGATAGAACCTCGTGTTCCTGTCCCCCGTTGCTATCCACTCCTCTCGTGAGCTCTGGAACCAGTAGAGCTCTTCTTGGCTCAAAATTTTTTCTAACTCTTTTTGCAGCTTCTTGCTCAATTTTATTAGGTCCGACCTTGGACGAATTTCGATTGCCCTTTGGACCCCTTTAATCCTGGCTAGTACCCTTCGTTTCCTTTGGAAAATGTTCTCGAAAGAGCTATGATTCCAATCTTGCAGTTTCCTTGCTAGTTCCTCCTTAGCATGATCCAGATCATAATCAGCATTCCAATTTTCTTTAATGAATTTCGAGAAATCGGGGTGAGTGGACCAAGCTACATTATACTTGAAGTTTCTCAGCCCAGCACACTTCTGACTTTCCTTTGTTCTTATAAGGAGAGGTGCATGGTCCGATCCGACCATGGGCAAATGTAGTACACTTGCATCCAGGAAGCGCATTCTCCACTCCGAATTGCACAGAGCACGATCTAGCCTAGCTGCTTTAAAAGATGTTAAGCTTAGTCCTCTACACCATGTGAACTGAGGGCCCTCAAATCCGACATTTATTAGTCCTTCCTCAAAGATCCAATTCCTAAAACCTGCACATCTGGAAGACGAAAAATTAGTACTGCCGGACACTTCATCTACTGAGAGAACTGAATTATAGTCCCCTGCTATTAACCAAGGACCATGGAAATTAAGGCCCTCCTGAGACAAGTCCTCAAAGAGGTGTCTTCTGAGGGCATGGTCAGGACTACCATATACGAAGGAAAGATTCCACGGTGTTGTGTTATCTTCCATAATTTCTAGTAGGACGAATTGGGGATGGGTTCTAGAGATCCTAACTTGAATCTCATTTTTCCAAAAAACCCATATTCCACCTGAAAAGCCATAAGCTTCAACTCTTATCCAATGATCAAAAGAGAGATCAAAGCAAATTTCGTTAGCATGGTCACCAAAAACTTTTGGTTCCAATAGACACAATATGCTGGGTTTAAAATCTTGTAAGAAAAGTTTGAGGGTGCGGCGAAACGTTCTGGACGCCGCCCCTTGGCAATTCCAAGCTAAGACGTTCATTAAAACTAAAAGAGTAAAGGGATTGCTCAATTGAGCAGATTTGGATCCATAGCCAGATTAGACTGGCCACGATTTGTCATATCATCTTCCATGGCATCAATTGGCGTATCACAGTCGTAGAAGTCAGCTCCCTCGTCCGGGGGTACTTCAATACTGGTGCTTGCTGACGAGCGGTTAGGCATTATTCCCGGGTTAATTTGGTGGTGGTTGACGGTTATCCTTGTGATTGGTTGGCCTCTTGCCGAACCTCGCACCAGGGTATGTTCATCTTCAGCTGCTGCCCTCCGGGGAGTGGCTGATCTACCCCTTCTCCCTTGCTGAGAGGATTCATTGATCCTAATGTCCGGGAGTCGGCTTGTCGGAGAGAGAAGGTCGTTGGTGCCACCACCCTTCCGGCCGCCGGCTAGCAGGACCTCTTCTTAAGGACAAATAGCAGCTCCTCTCTCTGTTTCTGGACTGGCTCTTCTGGGTGAGCACGAGTCCCTCCCTTTCTCTTGGTTCTTATCTGGGAAAATCTGTTTCCCCCCAGCTCGTTGGTGCGCAGATGGGTGGCGAATCTTGTTCTGCCCATTAGCCGGTGGACCTGCCATTGGTGCTTTGCCCGGGTTCCTCTGGGTGGTATTAACATCTTCATTCCTTTCTTCGCCTTCATCATCCTCGTTCAGGTAGTTGAGGGGGCCAAATCTGGTATTAAATTTCTGGGGGATAGGGCCACGGGAAGAACTTGGATCTTGGTTTCTTTCCGTCATGTACTGCTTATGTGTGGCATCTTGATTTCCACTTCTTCCGGGTGGTCTTCGGTCTTTCCTTGATACAAGCATCCATGGCCCAAATCTATCCTTAAGGTGGGCTTTAGTTGTATTTTCTTGGAGGTTTTCAACTGGCTTCTGGGGGTTGTCGTCTGTCTTTTCTTTGGGTGAATCATCCTCCATAGACTCAGTGCTAGGCTTAGGTTGCTGCTGAACATCTTGGCCGCAAGAATCGAATTTGTGTCCATACTTTCCACACTTGAAGCAGATGAGGTGGATGCCCTCGTACTCAATTGGGTACTCTTCGTCTTCAATTGTGAACTTGGCCAGAAGTTGTTTGGTTATGTCTATCTCTACACAGATGCGGGCGAATTTCCCTCGTGACTCAAGGCAGGTCATGTCATCGATCTTAATGGTTTTACCGATTTTGTCGCCTAGTTTGATCAAGGTCTCCTCATCGAAATATTCAATTGGTATGTCTGGAAGCCGAACCCAAACACAGATCTTCTGAGTTTTGTTCGTCTGAGGCCTAAAGTTTGGTTTCCACTGTTGAACAATAAGATAGTGATCTTGAATTACCCAAGGCCCCTCACACCTAGCAATATCATAATCTCTCTGCAACTCAAAGCGAGCCAAGAAGTAATCGTGCTCTAGGTCGATGAGTTCCATATGTCCTTCTGGCTTCCATAGAGAGCGGATACGACGAATTAGGAAGTTGTATCCATTTGATTTCCCCATAAGCTGGATGATAAGCGTTCTTCTCCAAGGTCTCCTAATCCTGATCTTCTCCTCCTTTGATAACCTAATTCTTGGGCATTCCGGGTCATCTTACTCCTCAAAGCCCTCATCATCACTAGTATCCTCTTCCAATCCTTCAAGATCGTCTTTCTTGTATGTCATGAATTGTCGTAAGCTAAGTTTGTAGCTCGCTGGTAGGGGTGGATTCGAGGGCTCTGACTGGTTGTTCTTGACCGTCGTATCCATCGTATCTGGGCCTAGCTCTGCATTGGAATTCGTGCTTGTCGAGAATGGGGCGTCTGGAATTGTGTCGTTTTGTGGAGTAGACACCGGCGTGTCTAACTGGTCTCGGGATCTCTTCGTCTTCTTGTTCGATCTTTCGCGTGAATCAGGTACCTCCAGCGACCGATTGGTCGCCGTCGGTATGGCGACTTCAGAAGGCGTTTCTGCTAACATGAGGCCATATCAATTTTTTCAACGATTAATTATTTGAATAGATCATAGGTTCAAATTTAATTCATCAAAGTAAATATATTATACTTCTCATAATTGACATTGGAATTTGATTAATTTTATGGACCTCTTTTCACCAATGAGGTGTACAATTGAGTGGTCGGCCCATTAGCCTATTTTTGTATGGGCTATTGGATGTTGAATTATGAGCTCAACAATAATCACTAACTCGGCCCAGAAGGTCCACCAGCCAAGAATATAATTATATACATTTTTTTGGGATAAAAATGTTTAAAGTAGCTATTGAACTATACGGGGAAGTGAATTAGACCATTAAACTTTTTTAAAAAATATAGTTAACTCTTTAAACTGTCCAAAATTATACAACACACCCCCTCTCTGTCTCCGTCTCCGGCCTGGGGACAAAGAAAGCTCTTTGTCTTTGTCTGGAGACGAAGGCGAGGAGAAGGGCGAGGTTTTTTTTGTTTTTTGTTTTTTTTTTTTTTTGTTTAAAATTATTGAAATAAATTTAAAACAATATTTTTTTAATAGAATGATTGCCACAATAGTATAACTAGAGGAACATGTCAAATTACATAAATTTAGATATTTCAAAGATCAAATTGCTGTTTTCTTGAGTTGGATAGCCTAATTAGATTTTCGCGTACTATATTCTGGATTCCACGAATCTGTCCTGTGACCTGTGATGAGATAAATTGAAGTAATCTAGTTATGAGACACAATACCAAATTAAACATACTCCCGAATTCTACCACCTGATGTGAAAAATAAAGATGGATTATTTTCATTATACTTTTTTTTTTTAATAATGCCATGCTAATCGGAGGGAATAAAGACAAAAGAAATTGGGTTAAAAATAAAGAGGTAAAAGAGTAAAGAGACAAGTGCACGAAAAGATTCGATTCATAATACGCACGTCGCCGGCACGCACAATAAAATATATATAGAGCAGCAGCATGCGCCTCCAACGCTCTTTTTCTCCCTCTATTTTTCTTCTCCCAATTAGTGAAAAATGCACATTATCTTTATACTTCAAAAGTCTTTTAACTCTACCCAAAGAAAAATAAAAATATTTAGGTTAGGAGAAAAACTTGTAACCATTACTTAAAAGTTTATATAGGGTAAAAATTTCAACATGATATTTCATAAATTGCACAAAGAATCACATAGGAAAGATAATAGTCTGCAAAATATACAAGAGAGGTAAATTAAATTAAAAAGACTTAGTGCGACGAGCAAGAAGAAAAAAAAGTGTTTGTAAAAATCTAACTCAGATGTTTATACACAAGAATCATGTTTTACCCACTTGACCACCTAATAGGGGATCCAACTGAGGTGAAGGGGGGGGGGGGGGGGTATACATAAAATGGGATAATACTTTAGAAAATAAATAAGTTTTCATTAAAAAAAAATACATGGAATCTTTTTGTGTAACTCTTGTGTGATACAAAATAATGTGATATGATATGAGATGTTTTTGAATATAAAGAAATTTTCAATTGTCAACTATCATATAGTTTGATGGCATTCCGATTATTATTCCAAATGAATGATCATAGGCTTGAACTCCCGTGGTGGGGCTTAGATTATTTTTGTCCAAAATGTTTAAAAATGTATAGAATATATACTACCTTGTAAAGAATTATTAGTATTTCAAAAAAAAAAAAAAAAAAAAAAAAAAAAAAAAAAGAAGAAATTTTCAATTGAAATAAATTAAATCAAATAATGCATGGAATCTTTTGTGTGACTCTCGTGCGAAACAAGTGCTATACGAGATGAGAGATATTTTTAAATATAAATAAGTTTTCAATTGAAAATACATATGGAATCTCTTGTACGAGACAAGTTCTATGCGATATAGAGATATTTTTTAATATAAGTTTAATTTGTTTGACAAATAAGCACATGTTAGTAGAGGTGTACATACAATCAAATTTTTTAAGTTAAAAAATTTGATATAAGTGGAATTAACACTATTCAATATGTCACTAGGAAATGTATAGTAGTACTCCCTAATAGAGTTCGAACGAAATTTAATTAATTGAATGGAACTAATACTATCGAATATGTCATTAGAAAAAGTACTCATGGTTCAATTCAAATAAAATTTGATTGAATTAACCTCATTTTATAAAATATAAATATCAGGATAATGTAGTCACAATTTTTCAACCAAATATATTTCTTAAAAGGCATAAGAATGACAACATTTTAAAAAAAATATATCACATCATATACTCTCTAGTGTGATTTATCCAAACATTTGGTGGTGATTACTTTACATCTAGAAGGATGCACTATATGTGTATATATAGAGAGATAATATAAAAAAATACAATTATAATGTGACTCATAGGGTGAAAGTGAGTATATATTATAAAGATTCAGTAATGAACTAATGGGTAAGTTACAAGTAATCTTGCCCATATCTAGGTGGTGCCAAATTATGGTAATGGAGAATCTATCACCAATGGTTTAGGAAATTTTGGGCCGGGGCCAAAAATGTAGATTCTTGTCCACTTTTCTTGAGAGCCATAAATTAAGATCTAAGAGCATATACATTAGAGGAGAAATGGAGGAGAATTTACTATTTTTGAGACTAAAATTTCATGGTGGCAGAGAGAGAATAAAGAGAGAGAAGGGGTAGGGAACATCTGCAAAGGTTGGGATATTACTTTTCCAAGAAAAAAAATTAATGATGGAGGAAAGAGAACCAATAGAGAAATGACATGCTTATTTTTTTTAGTTTTTTTTTTTATAAAATTAGTTTTGATTTTTTTACCCTCCCCTCCCACATTATTCTCTTTCCTACTCACTCCTACATTCTCCCCCTAATATCCCCAACTGATAAGAGCATCCTTATCAGTTGAGGTTATTTCTCAATTATTTGTGGGTCCCAGCATCCACCTCATCCTCTATCATCTCATTCAATTACAAAAAACTCTTCTCCACATCAATTTTGAGTTATTTCTCAGTTTTTTATGCACCCACCATTTAACACACTATATTTTAATTATTTCTCTCACTTATTGGGACCACAAATATACCATACTTTGCATAATAAATATTTTTGAAATAACTCCTCCCCACATCAGCTATTAACTTTGAGTGGAGAGAATTCATGTAGAAATAACTCCTAAATAACTACTAGTCTGGATGCTCTAAGGATGCTCTAATAAGTAGTAGGCATAAAGAATCAATTAAAGAAAAATCTATTAATACATATCCAATATAATACACTTCTTCATCTTTAGATTGTCTGGCATCCATACTTGGGAGAAAGTTTTAAATGTAACTTCTCAATGAGAAAATATGACATTTATTTGAGTTGTAAACAATGTCACAAATAAAAATAAATATATTTAAATCCCAAATTTAAGGGTCCCTCATTGATATTGGAGACGAGTATGTAAAGCAAGTAAATCACGTAATGTGCTTTAACTTGTCTACAGACCCCAATAATTTTTACCTTACGAGTTACTACTGCTAACAAAGCAAAACTCATGACTTTATTTTGAATTAATTGACTAAATGAGTTATTGTGCTTTGGGGCCGAATGAACGTAATAAATGTAGAAAATAAAAGTGGGCAAAAACCAATAATGCGTATTGAGTAAACCATGTTTTTATGTTAGTCTGCAAACCCACATTAAAGGTAAACTCCAATATCCTTTTTGTTTTTAATCATATCGATCACGGTATAATACATTATAGTTTAAGACACTAAATTTTATTAAAGAATTGAGATAAAATTGTAATGTTTTATTCCATTTGTGAAATTCCAATATTACCCCCACCCAAATTTACCTATAAATACCCTCTCTTGGAACCTCTTCCTTCACGCAACACACACCCTCAACGCAAACCGCTTCCATCCTCATCCAATATTGTCTCCTCTCCTCCGCCGCTCACCGCCGTAAGTTGCCGGAGAAATTGTCCATTCTTCATTTGTTTCATTATATTCTCCTCATGAATGGTACGCATTCTTGAATTTTAAGGTTGTCGTGGTCGTGGTCGTTCGGAATTTGGAGAGAGCGAGGATTGATGTTTTAATGGAGATCAAAGGTGGCAAGAAGAATCCTTCCAGTAGTTCCCAATACGAGACCCCTCTCGGTTTCATCATCGAAGACGTTCGTCCTCACGGTGGCATTCACAAATTCCAATCGCCTGCTTACTCTAACGTGTGTATATATATGGTTTCTGCAAAGATTGTGTTTTCTTTTCTTTGTCCAAAAGGCGAAATTCTCTAGTCCTCAGCCTTATTTGGTCCTGGTACCCATAAAGAACACTAACATAATTCCTAACTCCTATACTATCATTTTCAGGGGTGGGCACGCAATTTATCACTCAAAAATCAATTAAATTATCCTAACGTAAAAGCAAGATTGTGTTTTTTTGTTCGGGCCCGGGTACCCACAAGGAGCTCCACCTTGATTCCTAACTTCTATACTGTCACTTTTAGGGTTTGATTACATGTTCTGGACACAATTTATCACTAAAAAATCAATTGAATTGTCCTAGCTTAAAAGCAAGATTGTGTTTTTTTGCCCTTATCCAAAGTCAAAATTCTCTAGCCGCCCTCAGTCTCCACACCCTAGCTTGATTGAATAATAGAAGGATAAATAACGGTAACCCTCCACCCTTTATTAGATGAGAGGACAAGTGCTTCAGACTCACAAGTAGTCCTAACTCTTATATTGTGTTAAAACTTGATCTTGTGTTTTGCACACAATTTATCACCCAAAAATCAACTGCAACAAAATTCTCTTGTCCTTAGGGCTCTACTTCATATACACATTTCACATAGAAATCAATGTTCGAAGTGACGGCAGTGGGCACCTTGTGACACCGACATTTGACCATGACTTGACATTTGGTGCTAAGCCATTAAATCACTTACATCCTCCCAAACATTCTATGAGGTGTGAGAAACGCTTGGGGTTAGGGATTCAACCTTTTGGGAGAACACAAGATTGTGTTTTCTTTTTAGGTAACATTTTGTTGTTCTTGACAATGTCTTTTTTATATGAATGCAGTGCGTGAGGAAGCCATCCTGATACAATTTTCCTGTCGGTGAGGTAGATGAATATGGACACTCCAGTAGAGTAGGAAGAAGAAGAAGAAGAAGATTGCAGTTTTTTCTTTGTTTTTTGATTTTTTTTATATAGAAATATAGAAAAGTGAACTCTTTTTACAATCTGTGCTGCCATGGCGGAAGCTCTGTCGTCGGCCATAGGCTTTGAAGGCTTTGAAAAGCGTTTGGAAATCTCATTCACTCCGCCGCCATTGTTCCGAGACCCGCGAGGAATGGGGCTCCGGGGCCTGACCCGAGATCAACTCGACTCCATTCTTGAACCGGCGTTTTGCACCATTGTTTCCGAGCTCTTCGGCGCCGAGTTTGACTCGTACGTTCTCTCCGAGTCGAGCATGTTTATTTACCCTCTGAAGATTGTTCTCAAGACCTGTGGGACTACCAGGCTGCTGTTATCGGTTCCAGTGATCTTGAAACTTGCTGACTTGCTATCGCTCGGCGTTGACTCGGTCAAGTACTCGCGGGGAACCTTCGTCTTCCAGAATTCTCAGCCCGCTCCTCACCGAAGCTTCTCGGAGGAAGTGGCGTTCCTGAACTCGCAGTTTAAGAACGGCGTCGCTTTCGTGCTCGGAGACCCGGAATCGCCAGGCCGGAACTGGCATGTGTACGTGGCGGAGGTGGGGTCGGGAGCACCGGCGCCGGAGACGACGGTGGAGATTTGTATGACGGGGTTGAGCCGGGAGAAGGCGGCTATGTTTTTTAAGAGACCCGGTGGGGATGGTGAAATGACGAAAATGTCCCGGATATGTGACGTCATTCCGAGTCACGTGATTTGCGACTTCGAGTTTGACCCTTGCGGCTACTCAATGAACGGGATGGACGGCGCGGCTTATTCCACGGTACACGTGACGCCGGAGGAAGGCTTCAGCTACGCTAGCTACGAAGCCATGGGGGTCGAGCTAAGCCTCGTCGGGCTTGAGGCCCTGGTCAAGCGGGTCCTCAACTGCTTCGAGCCAGCCGAGTTCAGCGTGGCCGTCACTCGCTTTGGAGTTCCGGCGCGAGACAAGATTTGGCGTGGCGGCAATGCTGACGTGGACAGGTACGCGTGTCGATTCAGGGTAACACAAGAGCTCCCGGGCGACGGTCGCATCGATTACCGGTGCTTCACAACCAATAAGGTGGCTTCGCGTCCCTCCGCTTTGCAGTGCTGGAAGGAAACAGAGGAGGAAGTGGCAGTTGTCGGTGGCTTGCCTTTTGGTACGACGGCGTCATCTGTAGGGTCACCGGCGATTTGTGAGTTAGTCTGCTAGTCATGTTATTTTGTACCATTAAGTTGTTGAAATTTATTATTAAGAAAAGGGTTTAGTTATAATCCATATTTTGGTTTATGTTAATTAGGTCTTAGATATGATGAGTGATAGATGCATTAAAAAAAAAAGGCTTTTCAAGCCATGTATGTAAGTATGTAACTAAACAAGAGTAATTTTGTAATTATTTATTAGTAATTTTTTTGTCTTGGTATCAAAAATTTAAAATCCGGAAAAAAGTTTAAGTTGATAATTACTAGTAGCATGGTGCACTATCTACATAAAATGTAGCGCAAGAAAAGAAAATCATTCTCCAAGAATTGTGGGCTAACTATAGAACCACATTTAATAAGTGTTCTTAAGACAAATGAGTTAGGTGAAGAATAGGTGGGTACTTAAAAGGCCGAAAATGATTTAAATTTAATAGGTTTCTATAAATAAATAAAAAACAGGGTATTATTACTCCATTCAAGAATAAGAGTTGAAACAAAATTGAAGCATGTTTTGGAGGGAAGCCAAAGGTGCCAAGAGCGTGGCCTATTAGGGGAGTAATTCTTGCATAGAAACAAAGATGGTGCCCTGAAATCCCTACTCGAGTGAGTAAACATGATTCTCATACCTAAAGACTATGAGTTTGATTATTATTATTATTTGACAGGACTATTATTATTATTAACCTTTTGTTTGAGCTTTTTTTTTTTTTTTTTTTGAAAACGGACGAAAAAATTGTATTATAAAAGAGTTGAAATACAATCCGGAGGAACAGAAACCCACTCCCACAGGACAGACGTGGAACCAGCTACCTGCGCCAACGTGTGAGCAACTTGGTTCGCTGACCTTCTGACATGGCAAACTAGTATGTTCCCAATGCCACTAGCAGTAATGCGACACTGCTCAACAATCGAGCCAACATAAGAAAAATCTAGAGTTTTTGCATTAAACGTAGTACAAAAATTTAAACAATCAGACTCCAAAATGTAACCACTAGCAGGCCGACCTTTAATCCATGTCAAAGTGTCCTTAATAGCACAGGCTTTCGCTAGATAGGGGTCCCTGTAATGAGGTAGTCTGCCAGCCTTGGCTAATGTGGTTTGAACGCGTTAATGTGCCAATTAGAGGAAATGGATCAGGATTCACAATGCAAAGTATGGTGGACTCTGGTCTAAAAATAAAAATGACATTCAGATTAAGAAAAAGAGTCAAATACACCCTTGAAATTTACACGAAAAGTCAATTAGGCATTTGACCTTTTAAAAGTTGTAATTAAGCACAATCATGTTAATTTAGTACATTGAAGTCCAAATCGATTAGTGACTTGTGATAGCATGTCACTAAGGTTTTAGCGATATTCCTGGAAAAATCGGCAGTTGGTTGCCTTCTTTGCGATCAGCAGGTTGTTGGAGAATTGAAGGCGACCAGTTGGCCGCCACCTCTAGTTGTTGGATCGCCTTCTCCAATCCGACGTCTAGGGAAGGCAACTTGCTGGTCGCAAAAAAGGTATTTCGTCACCGATTCTTTCTCGAGAGTAGCCAACAGTATCGCTGGAACATTACTTGAAACCTAGTGACATGTTATCACATGTCACTAATTGGTTTAATTTAGGTTTAGATGCACAAAATTGATGCTCATATGCTTAATTGTAATTTTAAAATTTCGGAAGCCTAATTGACTTCTCGTATAAAGTTCGAATATGTATTTGACCCTTTTCCCTTCATATTATTATTTGTCTGCAAAATATTATATACCTACACTTAACATATTATATATGTGTCACTAGTTAACCTATTATGTGCCTTCAATTTATTTACAGACACATAATTTTTGGAGCATGTTCCACAACGCAAAGTGAACCCTAGTCCAATATATAACAATTGCTAATTAGATGGTTGGAGTTGATTGAACATACATATACACAGCTAAATGAATCAATGTATATATTGTCGCTCTAAATAACTTTAAAGACGGCAGTGCAGAAAGTTGAGGTACAATACCAAGTCAAAATACAAGTACAAGATTCACCCAACAATGAAGCATGCGTTAATGATCCCGTGTTTAGCAACTAAACCTAGATTTTGATTCAACTAATTCAAGATTACGAGCATGCTAGCTTCTTTGCTTACCTCACAACATCCACGCCAGGCGTTCGTTGTCCTCACTTTCATCTCCATCTGCCTCTCTATTTGTATTTTTATTTATTTATCTATTTTAATTAATTTTATTTAATTAAAAAATTCTAAATAATATAGCCACATTGCATGCATGACAATGGATAAAGGCGGGCTATGATTATAAAATAATTTGTCAAAAGTCTATCCCAAAATCAAATGAATATATAAATTTAGTTGACATTAGTACCAATAGTTTCAATGGTTATACTCAACATTCTTATAGTTCATGAAAGACAATAATAGAGAAAATGATCAAACAGGCCTCTAAACTTTACTTCAAAGGTCAATAAGCCCCTTAAACTTTATAAAAGTGTAATTAAACCTTCAAACATGTCAAATTGGATCAATAAAGCCCAAAAATTAATAAATGACATGTTATTACAGGTAATTTCAATTCCGGCAACCAGTAAAAAAATCCAGTCACCGGTGACAAAATCTGGCCGTCAGGTCATCTTCCAGAGAAGATGACTGGACGGCCGCCTTCTCCAGTGGAAGACAACCGGACGGCCGGATTTTGTCACCGGTGACCAAAATTTGTCACCAGAGTCTGTTGCCGGAATTGAAATGACCTGTAATAACAGGTCATTTACCAATTTTTGCACTTTTATAAAGTTTAGGGGGCTAATTGACTCAATACCAGCACCGATCAACACCAACACACAACATTCTTATTATTCACAAAGATTATCAACGTCAATACTGTCAACAATATTATCAACACCAATACTTGTCAACAATATTATCACCACCGATACTAACCAACACACGATATTCTTATGGTTCATAGAAGACAAAACAATATTATCAGCACGGGTACCCATCATCACCAAAACATGCTTAGAAAAGGCTAAGAAAGGACTAAACACACCATTCTTATGGTTCATGAAAGGCAAAACAAGCAACTTTCTTTTAGAGGTTAAAGCAACTCAAGATATCCAAAGGATACAAATTGTAACATCACTAAGCAAAACAATAACTCCAACAGAATAGACATAAAACTCCGACAAATGAACTGGAGAAATTTCAAAAATTGTTTGTAGCACAAAACTTCACTATCCATGCCCTCTACTTCTTGTCCTCTTTCTCTGCCTCGGCAGCCCTCTTCTGCCTTGCACCAAGGTGACGCTTGTTTGTGCGTTCAAGGCGCAGTTTATCATACGCCTTGAATGATTTCATCTCGTCGGTGACCTTCACAAGTTCGACAGATGGCTTCTCCCTGGTAATTGGCAAGTATGGACCCTGGACTTGGGTTGCAGTTGCAAGTTCCTCGGCAGATGAATCACCAGCCTGCAAACATGACAGCTCGGTTAAGTTTTTATTCATGAAAGTTTCCAACCTACATATATATAAACGATTCTTTGCTTACCTTAACCTTCTTGGAACGCCTTGGGAAGATGACAAGCTTAGCTTTGTATGTCTTAAGCCTTTGGACATTAGTTTGGAGGCCTTCCAATGAGCTGTTCCTTCTCCGATGATCAACAGAAATACCAATGGTCGGAGCCAATTTCTTGGGAATGCCAGCAGCCTGCAGAACAAAAAGTCAACTTTTTAATCTTTTATTACGTAAAAGAACAAACTAATGTTAAACCGAGTTGCTAATCATGCCTTGGTTGAGGCCCCATGAATCAAAAGGTAGCTCATTTTCAAGTTTCATAACATCTACAAAACACAAAAGATCTAAACAAGTGGAGTGTAGGTTCAGCCGTTAATGGGGGTGTTTGGTAAATGGCTACTAGCGGACAAGGGTTTGATTAGTTGATAGCATTAGCTAATTGTAGAAAAGTATTTGGTAAATTAGCTGTTAGCTGATTACATATAAAATGACTTTCTCAAAAAGCTGGTCGAATAAGCTACTTTGAGCAGCTTCTTGAATTTTAGCATTTTGGAGCAATAAGTTAATGGTGGTCAAATAAGCAAAAAGTGGCCAATAACAGTGACAAGAATCTCATAATTTATTGATAGATAGTAAGATTTAAGAAGCTTACTTTCAGCTCTTCAAGAGAGAACCCCCGGCCTGCTCTGACCTTCATATTGTACTTGAGTGTTTGCCCATGAACAATTGGTCGAAGTGGCCCAGCAGTGGGTCGAGGGAAAATCTTAACAGCTTTCTTTTGCCTAGCTGCAGAAGCATACAGATTGATGTGAGAAAATGCCATCAAAACCGCAAATAAGAACTTTAAAGGACAATGACTTACCTACACGTCTCCTTGTTTTTCTAGCTGGTTGGTTAAACCAGGTTCTGACATAATTTTGCCAATGCTTCCTGAAATGCCCACTCGGAATAACATTGTTATGCTTCATTCTGTCTTACCTGCAAACAACATATCAAATAAATAACAATCACGTCAAATCAATACAGCTATGTAGAATTGATTCTATTATTATTTTGAAATAAAGAATGCAAAGAACCGAGGACCTCAAGGATAATAGGAGCAATTGGTATTCATGAGCAAGAAACATAACTCTTCATGAACCCCGAGTACAACTAAATTTCATGGCATCATCTACTTACAACTAATTATCAAAATTAACATTTGAGAAACAACGAAGGCCTCACGACAAGGATGTTCTGTTGTTATAATTTGAGCAAAAGGAGACGATGTCATAGCAAGCAAATTATGTAATCCACCACTTGCAAAACATTAAAGTATGAACCAACAAAATAAATCACATATATGAATATATGATATGACAACATACATGTTTAATCAATATATTAGGGTTATATGCTTGAAACTTTCCACCATCAACGCATACATAATTACCAAATCACTAAAAACGGAGCACTCTAAACCATAAACCTGTGTAATGTCTTTAGAGGCCCAAGGAAACCATTTTTTCTGGGACATATACAAAACCCAAACCATTTTTAGGGTTATATGCTTGAAATCTTCCACCATTAACGAAGACATAATTATCAAATCACTTAAAACTAAGCACTCTAACCCATAAACCCCAGGTAATGCCTTTAGATCCCCAAAGACACCATTTTTATGGGACATATACTAAACCCAAACCATTTTAGGGTTTTATGTTTGAAATCTTCCACCATTAATGCAGACATAATTACCAAATTACTTAAAACTGAGCAATCTAAACCTTAAACCCCATGACTTGTCTTTAGAGCCCCAAAGACACAACTTTTCTGGGACTTATACTAAACCCATCGCAGATTAACACCATGCTTACTATAATACCTACCTCATATTGCAGCAAAACATATATCAATAAAAATTTGGGAGGGGGGAGAAAACATAAGAATGAGTCTGTAGCTACAAGTTCAAAACTTTTGAATCCCGAAATAATCAGATCAAACATAGGAACCCAAACAATGCTAGAACTAACAGAAGACTAATCATCGAAAACATAATTCAGAAGAATTAAACCAGTTCAACATCCTACCATCTAAGGATATTCACGGATTTGGGAAATAATTAGGATTTAGGGCAAAGGGTATAACAAACCTGAGAAGAAGAGCTGCTGCTTCACTTGCTATTGGAGTCTGGAGAGAAGCGAGAGCTGAGCAATTACAGGTATTTAAGGGTGCTATCTCCAACTGAAGTAAGAAAACCTAGATCGGACGGCACATATTGGTTTAGTACATTTTATGGGCTGCAATTTGATATTGGGCTTTATATAATATTGACCTATGCAATTACATCCCAACCAAGTTGCTTAGCCCATCGGGCTGACACTCAGATTTTGAACCTAATCGGTTCCTATTTAAAAAATAAAATTAATTGAAGGAAAATAAGGCAAATTATTGGCTGGACCATGGTCCAGCCAAGTTTGCTGAACCATGGTCCAAAACGACGCCGTCTCTCCATTTAAGGAGAGACGGCGCCGTTAAACAACGTTTAAAAAAAAAAATTCTACATCGTCTCCGACAGCTTCTTCAACAGCTTCTTCGCGCATCTCCACCGTCTCCGACGTCACCTCCAGCGCGCGCTACTACAAACCAACGCCACAAGAGCTTTCTTGTACACCGTTGACGCCATCTCCATCTACTGATTAGGTACATTTTCAACTACCTAGGGTTTTACTTGTAGCTGTGTATTTATTCATTCCTGACACTATCTTGGCCTTTGCGTTCGTGGCCCTTTGCGTTCTTGGCCTTAATCTTTGTCCCCAAGTAGCAAGCTGAACCTTCAGCAGCTGCTTTTCTGCTACCAAGAGACTCCCTATGGTTGCCACCATTTATGTTATTATTATAGGTAGTATCAACATCCAGGCGGTTCTCACCAGTCTCATATCTTGACTCGAGAGTTCTTTTATGGCACGGTCTGTGTCCACCAAGAGCCTGATAAGAGCTAAAGATCTTCTTACAGTTCAAACACTCGTACTTCTTCTTCTTCTTAGTCTCAGAAAAACTGAGCTTTATCTTCTTATAGGAATCAGTTTTGTATTCAGGATCATAAGAGCTATCTTTGCTTTTCTTTCTTGAATCATGCTTCCCTGCATTTGAAGCCACTCCAAAATCACGATAATCGTAGTCCTTTGATCCTGATCTTGACTTTTCTCTATTGGAGGCATCCATTTTAGGAGTTTTCATGTCAATAGAAGATGATTTAGTTTCTAGAACCACAGAGTTATTATCAGAAGACTCCATAAATGAACTAACACCATTCCAGTTCCCAGAATCCCTAGACAACATCATCAAACACTTGGCTACTTCCTGTTGATCTTGCTCAAACATCTCAGACCCAGTATTAACAACATGATTAGGCAAAGTAAATGAACAAGTGTGGACAATTTTCTTGTACCTCTTAGGCCTTGCAGAAGATGATTTGTTCCTCAGGTCCTCTGCCTCTGTGTCAGAATTGCTATCCACCACCATAACCTTCTTGCTCTCACTAGTCCAAGAATGCTCATCCTTCAACCCACCACCCTTCTCTTTCTCTGAGTGGCAAGCCATGTGCCCACACAGTGCTTTGATGGACTGGAAAACTTTCCCACATTGCTTACAGACCTTTTCTTGGGGCACAGAGAGATTGGAGTCTGTTGCCCTCCATGTCTTCCTAAGGTTCTCTCTTAAGCCATACCCAGAATTCCCACCAAGCTCAAATCTTGCCTGCATCTTCAAAGATGCCATCTTTTTCACATTTGCTATACTCTTGCCATTTGATTGCCAACAGACTGTAAGGAAGTTTCTTGATTGCACCCATCTGCATTTGTATTACTGATAGTTTGATAAGGTTATTATTTCTTATATAGGGAGTGCTTTGTATAAATTATGACTTTACCTTTCAAAATTATGGTTGATAAAATGTTATAGATGTATGGCTGCCCTTACGGATATAAGGACTATGAAATAATAAGGAAAATGTGAGTGTAATTTGAAATTCTCAGTAGAACAATTGTATTTTAGGACCTTAAATAGTACTCCGTATCACTATTTAAATTTGCAGATAGAAATTGTATAAATGTATTTGAGCTTCAAAATACATTTTGTTGTCTTTCTATGCAGAATGTTAACTACTTATTGTATGTAAACTGTGCTTAAATCTTCTAAATAGGAAGTCAAATGATCATTTATAACAACATCAGAAATAGACAACCAGAATCTTGATCATAGGGAAATGAAAATGCTATTTAGTCTGTTCGTTAGGTACATTATATCTGTTCGTTAGGTACATTATTTTAATACACAGGGTACCCTCTTTTTATGCATGATTTATTTTGTACATTTTGTAGTGAATAGAGCATCGCTGGATTTATTCCCTTAACTAACATTTTACTTGCAGCAACTATGTCTAGCCAAGAAGTAGATTTATCATTAAAAGAGGTTACCAAAACCTATCGGAAAAGGAAAAGATCTACCAGTAATGAAGAAGACGGAAATAAAGAAAAGGCCACTAATAGGACTGTAAAGAAAGAAAAGGCTCCAAAGAAAATTCAGCTCAAGACTAGGATGTCACCAATGGAGTTTAACAAAATGGTAGCAAATCTCAGTGATGAACAAAAAAATGCGATTAAAGAGATTGGGTTTGGATCATTACTCGAGCTTAGATTGTCCAGCATGGACAATACACTAAATACATATTTGGTAGAAAACTATGATGTTTGTAGTTGTTCCCTAATGTTGGAGAGTGCAAAGATGGAGCTCACAGAGGATGATGTGGAGAGCACATTAGGTCTCCCCAAGGGTGAGGTTGAAGTTGTTGAAGGGAACAACTCAAATGCAACTGAAGAATACAAAACCTTGTTGGAGGAATGGAGAACACGCTGGGAATTAGACAATTGTTCTCCATTGGTGAAAAGACTTGGCCATGGTATAGTTGAGAAGAAAGACCACGGGGACATGTTCAAAAGGGATTTTGTGGTGTTTGTTGTTTCTAGTTTGTTCAAGGGCCACGCTAATTGGACATCAAACTTCAAAATTTTGTACTCATTGATAGACGTGAAAAACATCAAGAATTTGAATTGGTGTAGGTACATTTTTAATAGTCTTACTACAACAGTGGAGAAATGGAAGAAGGCAAGAAGTACATTCTTCACTGGACCCTTGGTCTTCTTGATGGTAATACCTTTAATTCAATTTATGTTGCTTATTCTATTAATGCATTTTTGGCTTTCATACTAACTTTTTTTATTTTATTTTATTTAGGTTTCATACCTTGATAGGATGCAATTTAAAGGGCAGCAAATCCCAAGGAAATACCCTGCGATATCAGTTTGGACAATGGATATGGTCCAAAAAAGATTAGCAGATGAAAAGAATTCTGGTGGGTATGGCAGGGGAAAAGTCTTGGATAGAGTTAGGAAATCGGTTGCTGAGATTGAAAACAACATTGTTGGGGATGGGGTGGAGGCACAGGCAGTTGGTGATAAAACTAAAATGAGTGATGTAGAGAAGATATCTATGGGAATGAAGAAATTGACTGCAGCCATAGTTGAATTTGGGGAAGTTATGGCTGAAGTTGGGAGCAAAAACACCGGACAAGAAATTATAAAGAAGACTTTTAGCAAGATGTCTGATATGCTGAACATTGCTTCAACTTCCCAGCCTGACAAGACTTCGACATTATTGGATGATGATCCAATCTTCAGTAGCGAGAGCTTTCTTGCAGCAGTTGCATCATTGGAAAAGGCAGCAATGGAAGCATTGGAAAAGGCCACTACAATCACCGAAGAACCTATTAATCCTGAAACATTTTCACCACCACGCTTCAATTTGTTAACACCTACCCCCCCGGATATTCAAAAACCAAACGAAACAACTACTACACTCCCTGGTGAGGAAAGAAGCACAGAAAAGGAACAAACATTGTTTGACATGTAAGTTAAACTCTAAAAGTTGTGTTTCTGATTAAGATACATTATTTCTGGTCACTATGTACATTATTTTAATGAGTAGGGTACATTATTTTTATGTGGCAGTGCACTTGAGGAATCAGAGAGGGAGAATGTCCAACATGGGGAGAGAGAGAAAAGAAAATTGAAAAATGTTCCATTGCGATTGAGGTCTCCATATTGGACGAAAAACAATGAAAAACTCTCCTTTGTCTCTGCGAAAGAGAAGATGTTGTCTGATTTTGCATTCATGGAACCGTCTATTCAACATCCAATAGAGTAGGTTTTCACTTTAATTATGTTTAATACTAATGTTTGTCTTTAATATGTGTTAAAAAGTTATTTTTCTTGCAGTGAAACACTGTTTAGGTATAAAAGGTACCACATTGCAAGGGACCAGTTCTTGACTCTACGGGATGGTGAAGTAGAGAAGACCATTATAGATGTTTGGAGCTTAAGAATGAATTATGAAAATATCACTCGTGGAATGGGTGAACCAAAATGCATCTACTTCACCACCAATCCTTTTGTAAGTGCTTGAACTTTCTCTTATATTAAAAAAGAAAATTGATAATGCAAGTTCTTATTGATTATTAGTTTTTCTGCACAAAGTACATTATTCTTGTTCACAGGGTACATTATTTCTGTTCACAGAGTACATTATTTGTGTACATAAAGCTTTGGTGTATATAATACAGAATTTGATGGTGTAATATGTTTACTTAGTAATATAATTTTGTGTTCAGATGGAAATTGATGATGCTACTGAACGGAAAATAGAATTCTCTGCAGAGGAAAAACAAAGACGATTCAATGGATCTTTGGATTATGAGATTAAATTGGCCTCTAACATTGACATCTCTGATGCTGAACTGGTAATTTATCATGCATAATATTATAAATTAATAAATTATGTGAAATTCATTTTATATACACTCATTGGATATACTTCTAAAATCATATGTATTTAGGTTTTCTTCCCTGTTATACGCTATCATCACTACTTCATCATGTGCTTGAACTTCAAGAAAAGGGTTGTCCAAGTAGTTGACAATAGAACACTGGGCAAGAATACCAACTTTCTACAAAGATATGATAATTGTGATCAAAACCTAGTAAGTTGCAAAATCTAAGATTGTTATGAGTTTAAATTGAATACTGTTAGGTACTTGATATATTATAATGAACATTAACTAATGTGCAGGTTAATGCATTCAAAGAGTATTGCAAATTTAAAAGGATCACAACTTTGTTAAACAAAATGACAAAGCATGATGATGAGGATGATGTGTTTAACCATGAATTGGTGAAGATGTCTTGGAAAAATGCCACTAATGTTTAAGCATGATGAGATACATTTTGATAACTCATAGGGTACATTATTTTAGAGCACAAGGTACATTATTCTAACCCATAGAGTACATTACTCAAAATCAAGACTGCAAGGATACATTTTGTTAACAAATAGGGTACATTATTTTAGAGCACAAGGTACATTATTTTAACCCACTGAACATTACCAAATAAGAAAACATTTTATTAATGCATAAAATCAAAAATATGTTTGTAGAAACTATAAAAAGTAACATACAATTAAAAGTCAAATTTAAAAATTATTAAAATATGTTTTAAAAATATAAAATAATAGTTCGTTTTACCAACGAACCCCTCCCCTAATTTCCCATGGTGGCGTGGACGGGGTTGGGGTTGAGGAGTATACCACCCATCATCTCTAAGACTCTAAGTGGTGATCAATTCATGAACATGTGACCTTAACTAAGATACATTTTGATAACTCATAGGGTACATTATTTTAGAGCACAAGGTACATTATTCTAACCCATAAAGTACATTACTCAAAATCAAGACTGCAAGGATACATTTTGTTAACAAATAGGGTACATTATTTTAGAGCACAAGGTACATTATTATAACCCACTGAATACATTACCAAATCAGAAAAGATTTTATTATTGCATAAAACACAAATGTTCATAATCTGTCAAGTGCAAATATTTCCTTTAAAAACTCACAGAATATAAAACCAATTCATAATCTGTAAATAACTCACACAATATAAAACCAATTCATAATCTGTGAAGTGCATATATAAGTAAACAAAATTTCAGTACAACTCCTAATTATCATTTGAATTGTTTTGAGACTTAGACCTAACACAAATCAATTCTGAACTAGTAGTGTCATTAGGATGAACAAGATACCCACTGCCAACAATATTAGACACAACTTCCTGCATAGAAGATTGGACGGCAGCCTTTGTGTTAGATTCAACTCTTTTTGCATAATTTTTTCGGCCACTTGCTTGATTATACTTTTTTTGTACTGTACTAACTGGCCTTCGATTACGATCGCCTTTCACACCGCTTCGTTCTGGATTTTGTATAGCATTACTTCGCATAGATCTTTCCAAATCATCAAAGCAAATAGGACCAACCTCACCTTCAATCCTTCTTCTTCCATCTTCAATAAGGTTTTCACATACTTGTCGAGCTTTGCAATTGTCTTGACTTGATAGAACTAACCTTTGCCATTTTCTACCCATATCTATAACCCAAATTGGAGAAGCAACTGTCAAAATACTAGAAGAAGATGCAATGTCCATAATCCTGTGTTCAACAACCTTTTTTGTCCACCTTCTACAAATATATTTCTCAGGAATTTTTTCAACACAATGAATGTTCAAAATACGCAAACAATGTGAACAAAGAATACCCATCTCGGAGAAAAACTTGCAAGTACAACATATGTTCATATCCTTAATATTGAAACAAACCTCAT